TTAATACTTAAGTTATTAATAATGACCTTAACCTTTGACCTTGTGACCCCAAAATCAATAGGGGACTTCTACCTCATATGGACAATTATTCTAAGAAGTTTGAATATTGTGGGCCAATTGGAACTTTAATAATGCTCTAGAAACTGTTTTCAGTATTACGGTAAAAGTGACTTTGACCTTTGACCTTGTGACCCCAAAATCAAAAGGGGTCTTCTACCCAATATGGCCAATCATCCTATGAAGTTTGAATATTGTGGGCTAAATGGAACTTATGTTATGCTCCGGAAATTGTTTTTGGTTTTAAGGTAATTGTGACCTTTACCTAGTGACCCAAAAATCAATAGGGGTTTTTTGCTCAGTATAGACAATCATCCTATGTAGTTTGAATATTGTGGGCCAAATGGAACTTAATTTATGCTCCAGAAACTGTTTTCAGTTTTAAGGATATAGTGACCTTGACCTTTTGACCCCATAATCAATAGGGGTCTTCTACCCAATATGGACAATCATCCTATGAAATTTAGATATTGTGGGTCAATTATATGCTCCGGAAACTGTTTTCAGTATCAAGTTAATAGTGACCTTGACCTTTGACCTTTTGACCCAAAAATCAATAGGGGCCTTTAACCCAATATGGACAATCATCCTCAAACTCCTCACACTGATTACCTCCCTTGGCAGAATTGTAATCACTGCCTTCACAGACGTCACATGATGATGAAAGTCACATGACGTAACGTCGAAATTCAAATGTAAATATCGACTGTTACATAGAAAATCTAACGTCATTTTTCTCTTTCTGTTTTATTTTTAAATTTTTGTACCTACGCCCGTTATATTTTAACAAAAAATTATCAAAAGTACACAAAATAATGAAAAATAAATTAAAAAGCTAAAAAATATAAATATCCAAACTTTGATATTTCAATGTTTGTGATGGCAGAGATCTCTATACTGATAAGGGGAGATCACTGCGTAGGAGATTGAATCATCCTATGAAGTTTGAACATTGTGGGTCGAATGGAACTTAAGTTATGCTCCGGAAACTGTTTTCAGTTTTAAGGTCATAGTGACCTTAACCTTTTACCTTTTGACCCAAAAATCAATAGGTGTCTTCTACCCAATAGAAACAATCATCCTATGAAGTCTAGACATTGTGGGTCAATTATGCTCCGGAAACTGTTTTCAGTATTAAGTTAATAGTGACGTTGACCTTTGACCTTTTGACCCCAAAATCAATAGGGGTCTTCAACCAAATATGGACAATCATCCTATGAAGTTTGAACATTGTGGGTCGAATGGAACTTAAGTTATACTCCGAAAACTTTTTTCAGTTTGAAGGTCATAGTGACATTGACCATTTACCTTTTGACCCCAAAATCAATAGGGGTCTTCTACCCTTTGTGGACAATCATCCTAATGAAGTTTGAACATTGTGGGCCAAATGGAACTTAAGTTATGCTCCCGAAACCAAATTGCAAACGGACGGACGGACAGACGGACGTACCAATTTTTCAGGTTTATGAGCTATTTCTCTTGTTCTTTTCTTTTGTTTCCTTGTGGGCTATCTATTGTTTCCTTATGAGCTAACTTTTATTTATGGAATGAAGTCCTTTGTTCTCTTTTGTCCCAGTGTACCGTTAGTTAGCTCAAATACCTAAAATGTTTGTGCGGACAGACAGACGGACGCCAGGGGGTATAACATAATATGCCCTTTCGGGCATATAAAAAAATGACTCACTTTGTAACATGGAGAAGATATTATTAAAAATAACCTTTCATGTTTCATTTTTACACACGTTCGTAAAATTCCGTTTGTAAAATTACTTGTCTTAAACGACATCTTATGCAAACGTATGCTCATATAAAAAAGTTTAATCACTAAATTAAATATTAATAATCCACCACCATCAATGATGCAATCATTAAGTTCTGGTACAAATTATTGTAACAATTTATGTTTGTTTGGTTAATTTCTATCCTCAGTTTCCATTTTGATGTTGCCCGTTTGTTCCAATGCGTAAATCCAACTTCTGTTAGTAACTGTCAATTTCATTGGCTAATGAATAATAATAATCTGGATAATAACGACATATAGCCGCGACGAATAGCGGTTTTTTCATCCGCCAATGAAAATACTCGGAACATAAACACAGGTGTCGATATTGTCTTGTGCGACCGCATGATCCTAGGAAAAACCCGGATGAAAGAATTCCGTGGTATAACAAGCAATTATCATAGTATTGCAAGCAATCCATAAGTCCCCTACCGGTTAGAACCCCATCAACATTCTGAAGGGCCATTCACTAATGTTTCAATTTTTCTCTATTTTAAGTAAATTTGTTGGAAAAGTTCTTTAAAAGTGATCACAGGAAACAGTTTTTATGAATAGACAGACAGACGGACTGAAGGACACTCTAAAGTTAATATTTGAAACATCCCTGTTACCAAAATATAACATTTTAAAAGCAAAATTCTTAAACAGGAGATAACTCTTGAATTAAAGATGCAATTTCATAAAAATTTTCAGCTCTTTTTGACTAATCACAAATATTGTTATATTTGCCATGTTTTAAGCCTATCTGTTGCCAAGGCAACTGATATTTTTTTCAAAATAGGAAGAACAGATAAGACATGCATAATCTCAAGACTGCCATCTACCCATATGTCAAGTTTCATAAAAATATTTCCAGTACTTTTTGAGTTATCACAGGATTCAGTTCATGTGTAAAATTTGCCATATTTTCAGTCTATGTGTTTCCATAGCAACCAGAATTTTCAACATAGGAAGAAAAGAAAAAGACGTGCATAATCTCAAGACTGCCATCTACCCATATGTCAAGTTTCATAAAAATATTTCCAGTACTTTTTGCTTTATCACTGGATCCAGTTTATGTGTAAAATTTGCCATATTTCAGCCTATTTGTTGCCATAGCACCAGAATTTTCAACATAGGAAGAAAAGAAAAAGACATGCATAATCTCAAGACTGCCATCTACCCATATGTCAAGTTTCATAAAAATATTTCCAGTACTTTTTGCGTTATCACTGGATCCAGTTTATGTGTAAAATTTGCCATATTTTCAGCCTATTTGTTGCCATAGCAACCAGAATTTTCAACATAGGAAGAAAAGAAAAAAACGTGCATAATCTTCATACTGCCATCTATCCATATACCAAGTTTCATAAAAATATTTTCAGTACTTTTCAAGTTATCGCGGGATCCAGTTTTGTGGACGGACGGACTGACGGACTGACAGACGATGGACAGACGGACGGACAGACGGACGGAGGGTAAACCTAAAGTCCCCTCCGGTAAACCGGTAGGGGACTAATAAAGAACTTATAGTGAAAAAACTTAAAAACTAGAATCAGAAATCTTGAAATTCAGTCTATTTGTTGCCATAGCAACCAGAATTTTCAATATAGGAAGATATGAAAAGGATGTGCATAATTTCCATACTTTTATATACCCATATGTCAAGTTTCATAAACATATTTTCAGTACTTTTTGTGTTATCACTGGATCCAGGTTATATGTAAAATTTGCCATATTTTCAGTCTATTTGTTGCCATAGCAACCAGAATTTTCAACATAGGAAGAAAAGAAAAAGACGTGCATAATCTCCATACTGCCATCTATCCATATATCAAGTTTCATAAAAAAAATTTCAGTACTTTTTGCGTTATTGCGGGATCCAGGTTATGATTAAAATTTGCCATATTTTCAGTCTATTTGTTGCCATAGCAACCAGAATTTTCAACATAGGAAGAAAAGAAAAAGACGTGCATAATCTCCATACTGCCATCTATCCATATATCAAGTTTCATTAAAATATTTTCAGTACTTTTTGTGTTATCGCGGGATCCAGTTTTGTGGACGGACGGACTGACGGACGGACAGACGGACGGACTGACGGACGGACAGACGGACAGACGGACGGAGGGTAAACCTAAAGTCCCCTCCGGTAAACCGGTAGGGGACTAATAAAAGAATTTATTATACACTTTGAAATGAGATATTGAGAAATATTGATAAATTAAAAGGCGTATTTTCATTGTCCGTATTTTCACTGTAAAAATGTATCTTTCACTGCAGTGAAACATATTTTCCGTATTTTCACTGGTGTCTTGCCGGACTACTTTCTTTTAAATTCTCCCAGTACTCAAAATTTAAGGGACAGTCTTGCAAATTTTAATGTCCAGAAAGAAAACAATGAATATAATAAACAGAAAAATTCAAGTTTTTTCTATAAATACATGATTTATTTTCATCTTGTGGCACGAAAATTACCATCATTCACTCGTGGCTACCGCCACTCATGAAATATTTATTTTCATTCCACTCGATGAAAATAAATCATGTATTTATAGAAAAAAATTGAATATCCACTATTTATTTACCGATGGTGGAAAAGCAAACTGTTTGTTTTCGGAGCAATAATGTTCAATTCTGAAGTGTCATTTCGATTTCTTTCAACTATATAATGTTTTTGCGGAGGGATTTTGAAATATTAGCAAGACGGCAGTTTTTTCTGCAATCTTCTGGAGGTCAGGTCATCTCCAACAAAAAAATAAAAAAATGATTTAATATATCTATATTATATCAGTTTTTCATTTTTTGTTGGAGATGAAGGTTATTGAATTATAGGCATGTACCAAATATTAAAACATGTTTAAAATGAAAAATACTAAATACTCAGGTTTACATGGTTTTGACAGATAGGAGGGTTGTAGAGTGGGTGAGGGGGGGGGGTAGCCCGGGGGTAGTGACAAATCAACGCGCCGAACACCTTTGTGTATGACGGCATTTATTTTTACCTGTTAATCCAATTAGTTATAATATTCTTTTAATCCGCATTGAGATATAGTCCGGCTACAGTGAAAATAATATCTTGTAATTTCAGAATATAATCATCTGATATATGACAGTAAAACACTTGACAGCATGAAATAAAGATAATTAATCATATTCACTTATAATTTAACTTTAAACTTACGCATGATTCAAAGTGGTGATATAAGAGTCAAAATATGTCTGTGAACAAGACGAAAACTGCCAGAGTTTATAGTTCGTGGATGAATACTCGGTGATTCGATAAATAGGCGCCATGATATATCCCAATGAACAGCTATTTGTATCACCATCATGTCCAAATCCTAAACTGAAACCGAAACGAAACGTTTAATGAGAAAAATATTAAAAAATGAAATGCATGTAAAGTATGTAGCTGACCACTCTTTGAAATATGCAAAGTTCAACAATGCTATGATGCAACGATGATAACAAGATTCAAACTATTCTACTATTTATTATAACCATTTAATACATGTTGTTAAGACCAGAGCTTAAGTGAAAATGCCTAGGTATCAGAGAGGTATGATCATATATTTTTCTTGCATATCAGACAGGATTAGCTACCGTTTACACCGGTGCTAGAGAAACCCTGTCTTACACCCTCCATGTAAGACAAGTCGCGTGTTTTAAATGACGTCAATGCTACGCGCCTTTTATGAACGAATAACGTTCTTTGAATGACGTCACTTACCTCTTTACCACCGTAAACAGTCACCCTCGAGCTAGATATTCCGGTCTGTACCGTCAGCTGGTGTAAGATTCTTATAATATAACATGGCATTAATGGATATCAAGTAAAGGGAAGCAGCCATTATCTGTACAACTAAACCAATCTCCTACGGAGAATTTCTGATATTTTATATTTTTCAGCTTTTGGATTTAATTTTCATTATTTTGCATACCTTTGCTATTTATTTGATATACTTGATAAACTATAACGAACTTAGGTACGAAAAGTTCAAAATAAAGCAGAAAGAGAAAAATGACGTTAGATTTTCTATGCAACGGTCGCTATTTACATTTGAATTTCGACGTAACGTCATGTGTCTTTCATCATTATGTAATGTCTGCGAAGCCACACCATACATAATGAATCCACAGCTTGGAATGGCTAGGGAGGAGTTCATGGATATAGTGACTATTGTGGATTTAAGTGACTGGTTGTCTTCAAAGTGCATTTTCAGCATGAAATTTGTTTTTGTGACATGTAATATGATCATTGGCAAATTCGAAAACATGGTTAGCAATCACATGCTGCTAATTATAGATATCAAGACTGCCATTGTTTGTAAACATTGCTTTTAAACTGCATGCTCGGTGAAAACAAGTATTTTTACAGGGGGGTACAAACTTCAGCTATAGGAAAATACTTTTTTTATATTTTGCATGTATAGGGAGTTGCTTACGCAGCGACAGAGTTTCTGTAGCCCTTATATTTTCAGGTATTTTTTTTGGAGGGACAAAATATGTTGTTTTGGGTGTCGGACCACTATAGATTTATGACTATTACGGAATTTATTGGAACTATGTTACTGCCTGACTGTTGCGCATGGGATTATTTGATTATAAAGTTGCTATGTTATGACTTATATGTTCTTAACAAAACGTGTTTTCTTTCTTTTCCATATCGTGTAGTTTCGGGTCAGATATATCAGACATATTGTTTGTAGGACATTTACAGCAGAATCTTGAAATTTAGTGTGGAGTGCTACCTTACAATCTGTAAAGGGTGGTAATGACTGTGATGAGTTTGCAACTAAACATGTGTAGCGAAAATCGAAAAGTTACTTCCCCTTATTAAGTACGCACCATCTGTGTTCAACAAAACAAATTGTCCTAGAAGAAAAATCTCGTAAATTGTACCATGTAAGTTGGTTTCAAATATGTTTGATGATGTTGCATGATTTAATTACCTTTTACTTTTCATTTTGGAGTCCTTAGAACATTGCAGGTATATTATTTAATGTAGAAAAGGTAAGATTATATTCATTTTGGCGATGGTTCCCGAGTCATGTAATTATGTACAAAAATAACGCATATTGAAAAGGTAAGCAGTATTTGATTCAATGATAGTAATATATTCAAGCGTTTGCAAGATATGGAAGACGACAGAGGGCGCAAGCAGTCCCGAGCCAATATATAAGGAAGGTGAATGTGAGAAATAGAGAGTGGGTGTTTTGGCAGCGTGTTGAACAGTCGACAATCCTAAATGCTATACCTACTTTTTAAATTCTTAGTTGCACAGTGCCTAGCGCTGTGATAAGGCTGAAAAATATTAAGTAGAAAGAAAGCAAGGATTAAAGATTAATAAAGGAAGATTAAGAATACTTTTATAAGTAGAGATAAAGATCGAGAAAGAGGGAACGTATATATATAAATAGTATTTCAAAGGATATTAATTTAATAAATTGTTTAATAGGTATAGAAATCATTATTCGTTTTTCAATTAAAAGACAAGGTAGTCTCGAGGAAAATTATATCTATATATTTAATTCAATTTGGTAATTCATGCACATTTATTAAGCAATATTAATCATTGGTCTTCAATCAAATTATCATAAGGCAAAGAAGCCAGAGGAAAATGTTGTATCATACAGGTATAAGCTCGGTGCACGTTACAAATTTGGTGGCAGCGGTGGGATAAAAGATAAAGGATAAAAGATAAAGGATAAAAGATAAAGGATAAAATACAATAGTTAAATAGATAAGTACTAAATAAAGTACCGAGCCCTTAGCACAGAGACCATTTTTTCATATATAAATCATGAATGACATGAGCATTGAAGACAAGCAAATATTGCTTAATAAAATCAAATTACTTGAAATAGAGAATGAAAGTCTCAGGGTCCAGCTCGAGATACATTCCCTAGACAAATTCTTGAATAAATCTGAAATATCCTCTGTGACGGAAATTTAACACAGAGCGTTGAACCAGATCACAAGGATAAGTCACCAGGCTTGAAGCACAGTACGCCAAATGAGCCAGATCTATTAGATTGTTATGGAAAAACACGGTTCCGGGGTTCTAGGATGAAGACCGAAGATACTGATTTGAAGCCTATATTTAAGTCTTCTAGATATAAGGATGAAGGCTCTCAAACTCCGACGTTAGGCCTGAGAAAAATGAGAGGCGATGATGTTGAAATTCGGAATATGCCGTATAAAGAACATTCATACAGGGATAATTTAGATAAATTTCAGACACCAGTATTTAGTCCTAGTATTATAGAGGGTTTCAGAACAACACCTGGGGAAAGAGTATCAGGTCTAACAAACAGTAAAGATGATGGAAAGACATGGGATCGTTTTGTGACTAAAAGAAAAAGGCTTTGTGATAGGGATAATAAGTTACGCTTTGACATCCCGTATGAAGAAAACAAGAATTTTGATGACTCTTTACAAGACTTAGGACCTGACTCAAGGCATACAAACCAGCCAAAAATAGACAGTTCTCAAGAATCAAAAGTATACATGAAGCCAGCTACTTTTGATGGAACAGGATCATGGCTAGATTACAAAGCTCATTTTGACGCTTGTTGTGAGATTAACAGATGGTCTGAAAAGCAAAAAGGTCTTATTTGGCCGTTTCTTTGCGCGGACAGGCTCAGGGTGTATTCGGAAATCTTGGAACTAAAGATCGAAGCCGATGATCGAAGTCAAGGCTTTAGAAGAGCGATTTGCACCTCCAAATCAAACAGAATTATATTGAGTGCAATTAAGAGAGAGAAAGCAAAAACCGTCTGAGTCTTTATCAGAAATGGGCCAGGAGATACGAAGACTTACTAACTTAGCTTATCCATCGGCACCTTCAGATGTGAGAGAAACCTTGGCAAAAGAGCAGTTCATAGATTCTCTCTTCAGTTCAGACATGAGACTAAGAATAAAGCAAGCAAGGCCTGTAAACCTCAACGATGCTGTAAGACACGCAGTAGAGCTGGAGGCTTTTCATAGAGCTGAGAGGCGAACAACAGATAATAAAAATTTTATGCGTACGGTTAGTCATGCAGAAAATTTAAATGTTAAGTTACAAAATGACGTTGAACAGTTACAGAAGTCAGTGTCAGAAATAAAGAAAATTTTACAGGGCAATACTTGGTCAAAGTCTGCAGATTCTAGACAAGGGTTTAAGACACAAGATCTAAGAAATTCCGATGGTTCAGGTAAAATGTACACTAGTTCAAGGTATAATAATAATAATAGAGATATGTCAAGTTCTAAATGTTATGAATGCGGTGAAAGTGGTCACTTTCGTTATAATTGCCCGAAACTTCATAACCAAGTTTCAAATTTTAAACAAACAAAATATGGTAAACATAGTGTAACAAATACTAGTAAATATGGGTCTGGGTTATTTATAGAAGCTAGAATTTATAATTTTCCAGCAACTTGCTTAGTAGATACAGGGGCTACATTAACCATAGTATCAAAGAAATTCATGGGGTAACATTAATTCCCCTATGAAATTAAATTCGTTTACAGCTGATATCGTTACAGCATCAGGACAGTTATTAGATATACAAGGAAGCACGAAAGTTAAAATTGAGATCGGGGATAATGCATCATTGCTTGATGTAATTGTATCAGAAATAGAAGGGAACGCAATCTTGGGTCTTGATTATTTAAAATCACAAAATGCAAATATCGATCTTTTAGAATGTGTTTTACGCTTAAATGGACAGTCTCATGAATTAAATTGTTCGGGGCCGATAGGGTGTTACAGGGTTATTGTAAAAGAAAGAACTGAAATTCTCGGAAATTCTGAAAAAGTGATACAGGGTAAAATTAATGATGCATCTAAGCCTACTAGAGGTTTGTACTTAGTTGAACAATTGAAACGCCCTGTTCTTGATAACGATGGTTTAGTTGCTCGAACACATGTGCAAGCAAGTAACAGTATACCAATAAGAGTTATAAACTTGTCAGAAGAAACAAAGGTTTTGAATCCAGGAACTCATCTTGCTATCATGAGTCCTGTTAAAAGGGTGAACGAAGTTAAGGTATCAAATGAAAAGAATAATTCTAATATCCCGTCACATTTACAAGATCTGTATGAACGAGCTACTAAAGGTCTCGATAAAAATCAGTGTAAAGATGTTCACAAGTTACTGTGTAAATATTCTCATACATTCTCTGAGACAGATTCAGATCTAGGACGTACAGGAATAATTCGACACAAAATATCGACTGGGGATGTACATCCAATTAAACAAACTCTCCGAAGGCTTCCTCATCAAATGAATGAAGAAGTTAATAAACATGTTAATGAAATGTTGGATAAGGGAATTATAGAATCATCCTCAAGTCCTT